CTTGCGGTTTTTGCAGCGTCTTGCTTTGCTCCCTTTGCTGCCAATTTTTTGGTTCCAGGTTCCCTTATGAAGTAGCCAGCCCCAAAAAGGGTAGCATTGTTTTTTTTTTGTGGTGACAGACCTACCAGGCGTAGAGGGGCCTAGCGTTCGTTGCTGGTACGTGTGACGCAATCTGCATCCCTTGGCTTTGCCGGAGCTGCAAGTCACGAAGTTAGGGTTTAGGGTTTAGGGTTTAGGGTTCAGGGTTCAGGGTTTAGGGTTTAGGGTTTAGGGTTTAGTATGCAAATACCATGCAAACCCAGCCCCAAACCCTACGCAGAAAACCGACAATTCAAATTTCCTCTTTCGTAACAGCGCGCCTAGTTGTAACTAAATAAAGTAAAATACAAATACCCACATGAATGAATATAAATGTGTTTATATAGCCCTAAACAAACCTATGTAATCTTATATGGCCTTGAAGTAATCTTGTACTTAGGATTTTTTGGATAGGGCACGCAAATCCACTCTACGAGCATGAAGGCCCTCGGTGTTCATGGGGGCCCGAGCACCAACCCCCCCCCCCCCCCCCCCCCTAACCCTAAACTTGGGATGTTTGTTCCCCCTCAAATTAACAGTCCTTCATGGAGATTATAGCAGCGGGTACTATCATCCCTATTGAGGACTGTCAATATAGGGGGGAAACATCCTAACCCCTAAGCCCTAAGCTGCGAGAGTTACATGAACCTTGGGGAGCGCACTTCAGGGTTTAGGGTTCAGGGTTCAGGGTTTAAACGTCTAGGGGTTATAGGCGAGAACCCGCAAGCCTGATGCCAAAAGGCTCAGGACAAAGTGTTCATATTTTTAATGTAGGGTTTTCGAGTCTAGGGCTTAGGGTTTCGAGTTGAGGGTTAAGGGTGTAGCCTAACCCTAAACGCTACACCCTAAACCCTAAACCCTAAACCCTAAACCCTTAACCCTTAACCCTTAACCTTTAACCCTTAACCCTTAACCCTTAACCCTTAGGCCGGCCCTCCGCCGACTAAGAATCAGCGCCAGCGAGGTTTTGCTACCTTCCCCTCCGCGACTTCGGCTGGCGGCTCGCCTCTTGGCATTGGCGCTTCGAGCGGGTTTATTTAGGGTTTAGGGTTTATGTAGGGTTTAGGGTTTATTTAGGGTTTAGGGTTTAGGGTTTTTGGTTTAGGATTAGGGTTTAGGGTTCAGGATAGGGTTTAGGGGTTCCCCAGTTCCTCTGTCTTGGGGTTGGTAAGCCCTAAACCCTAAGACCAAAACCCTGCACCCTCTCGGGGGTTCTTGGGGAGACTGCAGTCGAACCCAGAACCCCAAAATCTCAGTCAAACCCATAAACCCTAAAGCCTACATGGGCTTAGGGGCTTTTGGGGTCAGGGTGTCGAAAGTTGAGCCTAGTAAATGCCGATAATCCTTGCCACGGGGGTGCCTCCCCCTCCCTAGGTCCGCCCTCCCTGAAGGACCTAAACCCTCAACCCTAAACCCCAAACCCCAAACCCCAAACCCCAAACCCTAAACCCCAAACCCCAAACCCTAAACCCTGGCCTCTCGTCAGTGTTCCTCACGTCGGGTCCCCTCCGGTTCCCTTTCTGTTTCCTTCCAATCTGCCCCCGCGAGGATCTCGTTAGGCCCCGCTAGGCTTGTCTGTTTCGCAACTCAGTCAATGTATTGAGGGGCATTTTCGTTGAAGCTCCCCTAAACCCTAAACCCTGAACCCTGAACCCTAAACCTAAACCCTAAACCCTAAACCCTAAACCCTAAACCCGAAACCGATCAGCTGTTGATTGGTTCTTGAGAGCAGGAGCTGAGCGCAGTGTTTAAGTTCCGGGATGAGAGAGAGAGAGAGAGAGGGGCGTGAGATGAAGCTGCTTAGGTACGCAGATCGCCACCCAATCACAAGGGCCATGGGAAAGATGATCCGAAGCTACCGGAGACCCAAAGAGCCCAATATTGCTTAACTAAGGAATATACCTTAAATCATATTAAGGATCCCTGTATGATTTGAAAGAATATTCCTTAATTAAGCAATATTGGGCTCTTTGGGGAGCTCTTACTTGTTGGCAGCTTGTTTGTCGTCCAGCTTCTCTTCGGCTTCGACGCTGCCCGGACAAAAGCTCTGGGGTTCAGGGTTTAGGGTTTAGGGTTCAAGGACAGAGCTTCAAAAGCCAAGAGGAACAGCTGAAGAACAAAGCAACGCCAACAAGCTGCACACAACTGGCCATGGGACAAGGTGAGTTTTCCTGATCAACAAGCTCAAAAGGCGAGCTAGGCAAAAAAGCTGGCAAAGATGAAACAAAGCTGCCAGAAAGCTGAAGCAACGCTGCCACAAAGCTGGAAAAAAACCCAGCCCTAGGACGCTCTTAGCTTCTCAGCGGCTTTTCGGAGTGGGAGGATTGACTGATTCAACTGGCAGCCTTGTCATGTACCCAAAAAGAGCCCAATTTTGCTTAATTAAGGAATATTCCTTAAATCATATTAAGGATCCCTACATGATTTTGAGGTATATATTCCTTAATTAAGCAATCTTGGGCTCTTTGGGTACTTTTCATGTAGCTACTGGTTTTCTCGGCTCAGGGATCATGAAGGGTCATCTTGTTCTCTAGGCCCTCAACCTTCTTAAGCCCTCAGCCCTAAACCCTGAGCCCTAAACCCTAAACCCTAAAACCCTAAAACCCTAAACCCTAAACCCTAAACCCTAAACCCTAAACCCTAAACCCTAAACCCCTAAACCCCTAAACCCCTAAACCCTAAACCCTAAGAGCCCCGAGCTCGAAGGCCCTCCACGCGAATTTCGACGTGACCGCTTCCCGCAATGAGCTGCACAGCAACAGCCCGTGGAACCTAAGAGCCTCTACCTGGGTCTTGCGGGTTTAGGGTTTAGGGTTTAGGGTTTGGGGTTTAGGGTTTAGGGTTTAGGGCTTGGGGTTTAGGGTTTACGTAGGGTTTGGGGTTGCGGGGTTTAGGGTTTAGGGTTTAGGCTTTGCGCGGGGGGCTTTAGGGGTGTCGGGCGTTCCCTTCTAGCAGAGCCTTGCGGAATTAATTGGGGGGGTTTACGTTTCTTTCTGAAGCTGGGCTGCTTTTTTATGTTTCGAATCCGGCCAGCTCTTTCTAAGAAGGGAGAGGATCGCTTTCAGCACGAACCATCTCAAACCCTAAGCCCTACGCCCTAACTAAGCCCTTGAAGCTTGAACCCAAGGTGCACAAGATGTAAGCCACAGTGGTCCTGACTATGGTTCATGGTTCACCCCGACACCCCATATACAAGGGGACTAAAGGAGGGACCCTTACAAGGGACCTTATAAGGTGCTTCTTTGGGGTTATTTAGGGGCTACTTAGGTATATAGGGACTGTGTAAGGGTTATAAGGGGTTATAAAGGGGAAGGAGACCCAGGGTCCCTTCTAGGGTCCCTTCTTTCCCTTGATATGCCATGAAACCGGGCGGCCCTACAATCTTACATCCTGAAGCTCCTCAAGCTCGAAGTTGTTGCGGGCCCCTTCTTTAGGGGGTTGGGGTTTAGGGTTTGGGGTTTAGGGTTTAGGGTTTAGGGTTGGATTTAGGGTTTAAGGTTTAGGGTTTAGGGTTTAGGGTTTCGGAACCCCAAGCCTTCCAGGAATTAAGAAGCTCCTCCCAGCGCTCCTGGCAACGAGCGCGCGCATCCTCCAGGAGCAGCTAATGCCGCCAGGCGACAAGAAGGGAGCCCTAAACCCTGAACCCTAAACCCTAAACCCTAAACCCTAAACCCTAAACCCTAAACCTTTAAACCCTAAACCTTTACACCCTAAACCCCTAAACCCCTAAACTCCTAAACTCCTAAACCATAAACACCTAAACCCTAAGCCCTAAGCCCTAAGCCCTAAACCCTAAGCCCTAAGCCCTAAGCCTCGGTAGTTTTGGGGCACTCTTCTGTCTCTCTCTCTCTCTCTGTCTCTCTGTCTCTCTGTCTCTCTGGGAAGGTTTACCTCGAGAGGAAGCCTTTTGAATCAGCTGTTTCGTTCAGAGGGCTTTGGAGGCTTTGAGGGTGGAAGCTCTAAACTAGGGTGTTCTCTCAAATGGTCCCCCCCTGAAACTACCCCGCTTTGACATGCCCCCGAAAAGTCTTTTGATGCAAGAGGGCTTTCGAAATTCGGGGTGCCATATTGGGTCCTTACTATGGGAATCCTCGTGGTTATTATTGTTCTTTTGGGGTGGGTGGGTTTAGTTTAGGGGGTCCCTTTTTGTTTTTGTTTTTTTTTTTCTCTCTCTCTCTCTCTCGTAAACCCCCCATCAGGGACTGCATCCCAATAGGGGCCCTGAAAAGGACGATCGTTGCGAAAGCTGACCTTCTATGGGCTGTCTCTACTTCAGCATGCGCCCAAAATACGATGGATAGTGGCCCCAGTAACCCTAAACCCTAAACCCTAAACCGCCACGTCGCGAGTATCACTTGAGATCAACTGTGGTTTAATGGGGCTCTGTGGCAAAGACCTTGGATTGTGTGTGACTCGCCTGGCTTGATCGGGTGTGAGCAATTTAACCCTAAACCCTTAGCCCCAAATCCTAAACCCTAAACCCTAAACCCTAAAACCTAAACCCTAAACCCCTTTTCGGGTTTAGGGAAAGGGAGTTTCAGGTTTAGGAGCTGCTTGGGGCCTAGGTTGCGAGCTCAACAAAGGTTTAGCAAGAAGCAAGAACAAGCCTTCACCCCAGAACCCCCGTTTAGGGTTTAGGGTTTTGGGGTTTAGGATTAGGGTTTAGGGTTAAACACTAAACTCTACACCATAAACACTAAACCTCCAAGCCCAGACGTCATCCACCGAATCCCGAAATGGTAAGCTCTGTGGTCCTGAAGCTGAAAAGCTCGAAACCTGTCTTGGCTCGATCGGCGAGCTGGAGACCCCAACAACACTTTACGCAGGAATGTCCCCCCGAAGTTGGTGTATCCCTTCATGCTATGTTACGGGTCACGTCTTCCTAAGGGTGTTTGGGGGTTCTCCAGAGACACTGCGGCATCATGATGAAATGGGAGATCGCTCTCCTCCTCACGTGGCTGGTCCCGTCCCTGGCCACTTGCCCGGCCATCCATGTCAAAAAGCACGAGCAGACGTGCGACTCGTCCACGTGGGTTTGCCGGATCATGTGCTCCCAGGATATGCTGCCAGGCGCGAGGAATGCAAATTGGTGCGTGAAAAAACACTGTGCCAGTCCTACTCGCCGGCACCGACGCATCGTGGAGGGCATGATGGCTGCCGGACGCGACTACTGTTCCAAGGACCTGTGCTTCATCCAGGAGTCAGAGGCCACAGGCCTCTTGCAGAAACCTAGCCGGGGAAGCAATCTCGTGACGACGCAGGTGAATGCCACAGGTCACTGCCTCACGGAAAGCGACTGGGTCTTGGAGTACTATACTTTCATACTTCTTTTGGTTCTGGGTTCCTATTATAGCTACTTATACCTAAAAAGTATATACTTTTTTTTCCAGGGTCTACTCCAAAGCTAAGGCGATGTGTGCTCGGGCTTCTGTGAGGCGTTGGGACATCCCGGGGATGATCGCTGCATGTCTAAGTGTGTCGCTTGTGCGGATGTCATTGCAACAGCTTTGAGCGAGTACTGCGATGCATGCGCGGGGGGCGAATACAAGACCACCACCGAGGAGCCGAGCACCACCACACCGAAACAGTACAAGACCACCACCACGGAGGAGCCGAGCACCACCACACCGAAGTATTACAAGACCACCACCACCGAGGAGCCGACCACCACCACACCGAAGTATTACAAGACCACCACCACCGAGGAGCCGACCACCACCACACCGAAGTATTACAAGACCACCACCACCGAGGAGCCGACCACCACCACACCGAAGTATTACAAGACCACTACCACCACCGAGGAGCCGACGACCACCACGGAAAAGACGACCACCACCGAGGAGCCGACCACCACCACTGAGGAGACAACCACCACCGAGGAGCCGACCACCACCACGGAGAAGACAACCACCACCGAGGAGCCGACCACCACCACACCGAAGTATTACAAGACCACCACCACCGAGGAGCCGACCACCACCACACCGAAGTATTACAAGACCACCACCACCGAGGAGCCGACCACCACCACACCGAAGTATTACAAGACCACTACCACCACCGAGGAGCCGACGACCACCACGGAAAAGACGACCACCACCGAGGAGCCGACCACCACCACTGAGGAGACAACCACCACCGAGGAGCCGACCACCACCACGGAGAAGACAACCACCACCGAGGAGCCGACCACCACCACACCGAAGTATTACAAGACCACCACCACCGAGGAGCCGACGACCACCACGGAAAAGCCGACCACCACCGAGGAGCCGACCACCACCACTGAGGAGACAACCACCACCGAGGAGCCGACCACCACCACACCGAAATATTACAAGACCACCACCACCGAGAAGCCGACCACCACCACCGAAAAGACGACCACCACCGAGGAGCCATCCACCACCACACCGAAATATTACAAGACAACCACCACCGAGGAGCCATCCACCACCACGCCGAAATATTACAAGACCACCACCACCGAAGAGCCGACCACCACCGTGAAGGACTACAAGACAACCACTCCCAAGAAGGACGATGATGATGACTATGACGACAACAAGGACGATGATGTTGGGAGTCGCCGCCGCAAGGATGACGATGTGGATGGCGGGAGGCGTCGCCGCAAGGATGACGATGTGGATGGCGGGAGTCGTCGCCGCAAGGACGATGATGCAGATGGTGGAAGCCGTCGCCGCAAGGACGACGATGTGGATGGTGGAAGCCGTCGCCGCAAGGACGACGATGTGGATGGTGGAAGCCGTCGCCGCAAGGACGACGATGTGGATGGTGGAAGCCGTCGCCGCAAGGACGATGATGTGGATGGCGGAAGCCGTCGCCGCAAGGACGATGATTTGGATGGTGGAAGCCGTCGCCGCAAGGACGACGATGTGGATGGTGGAAGCCGTCGCCGCAAGGACGACGATGTGGATGGTGGAAGCCGTCGCCGCAAGGACGATGATGTGGATGGTGGAAGCCGTCGCCGCAAGGACGATGATTTGGATGGCGGGAGCCGTCGCCGCAAGGACGACGATGTGGATGGTGGAAGCCGTCGCCGCAAGGACGACGATGTGGATGGTGGAAGCCGTCGCCGCAAGGACGACGATGTGGATGGTGGAAGCCGTCGCCGCAAGGACGATGATGTGGATGGTGGAAGCCGTCGCCGCAAGGACGACGATGTGGATGGCGGAAGCCGTCGCCGCAAGGACGACGATGTGGATGGCGGGAGCCGTCGCCGTAAGGATGACGATGTGGATGGCGGGAGTCGTCGCCGCAAAGACGACACGGATGTTTATGTCAAGTATCACTAGAGTCACTAGAGCGAGTGTGACTACAGATAGGCCGCAGCTTTGTGTGACTGGTTGTGCCCAGATGCAGGAACATTTGTCTAAGTTGTAAGGATGCCCGTCAGCATACTGAAAGAATGCAACTTTTTCTTGCATCGTGGCCCGGCTAGTCGGTTTAAGACCCTACGACCCAAGCCCCCAGCCCCCGAAACCCCAAACATCAGCAGTCCCATGCATCAGCGGAGTGCTTGTGACATGTGGACTTGCTGGTGAAGCTTAGTGTGGGCGGAAGCAAACGCCTCTCTCCAGCCTGGATGAATTCAGGCAGGACGATGCCCGCAACAGCTCCCGATGGAGAAGAAAAAAGGTGTAGGGTTTAGGGTTTAGGGTTTAGGGTTTAGCGTTTAGTTCAACCCGGAGAGCCCAGTTACAAGAGAATCTACTTGGAGGTTCAGGGGTAGTTAGAAGTAGGGCTAGGAGTATGCTGGCTATGCTTCGAACCCTATGTAGGATACTTGTAACCCTACTTTAGGCCCCAAACCCTAAACCGTGAGCTTACAACCCTAAACCCTAAACCCTAAACCCTAAAACCCTAAACCCTAAACCCTAAAACCTAAACCCCAAAACCCTAAACCCTAAACCCTAAACCCTGACCCTACCTAGGATACATGGAGCCCTACTTCTAGCCACCTCCAAGTAGGACCCCAGAGTCGGCCCCCCCTTTTTTTTTTTTTTGGGGGGGGGGGGGGTTTTAGGGTTTAGGGTTTTTAGGGTTTTGGGTTTAGGGTTTTGGGTTGGAGGGTTTGAGGTTTGAGGTTGAGGGTTTTAAGGTTTAAGGTTTAGGGTTTAGGGTTAGGGTTTAGGGTTTAGGTTCCCTTATAAGCCCCGTATGACCCTTTTCTAAGGGTCTGAGTTCCCTTCGAAGCCCTTGCTTCCCCTTTTTTTCAGGCTTAGGGTTTAGGGTTTAGGGTTTAGGGTTTAGGGTTTAGGGTTTAGGGTTTAGGGTTTAGGTTCCCTTATGAGCCCCTTGAAGCCAGAAAGGACGCCCTTTTTCAGGTTACGGCTGGGTCTAGTAATTACGTTAAGGAATATTGAAGTCAGGAGTTCATTCTAGGGGGTGTATTGCTCACGTAAGGAGGTGTGTTGGGCAGACCTTGTGCCGTTCATGCTCTAGCAGCAATAATTGGGGCCTTAAAGCCCGTAAAGGCCCTTAAACCCTAAACCCTAAACCCTAAACCCTAAACCCTAAACCCTAAACCCTAAACCCTAAACCCTAAACCCTAAACCCTAAACCCTAAACCCTAAACCCTAAACCCTAAACCTCTGGGTCCTTGAGCCGAGTGGTCCAAGCCTTCCCCCTCCACGAACCCAAAGCTTCCAAAGCCCGTGTTGCCCTAAGCCTCCCGAGCTCCTAAACCCTAAACCCTAAAGCCTAAACCCTAAACCCTAAAGCCTAAACCCTAAACCCTAAACCTTAAAACCCTAAACCCTAAACCCTAAACCCTCAGAAAAGAAGCCAAGGCCAAACATCCCTGCAGTAAGGTGCGCTTGTTTGGTGGCCCTGACACTCTACACCCTAAAACCTAAAACCCTAAAACCCTAAGACCCTAAAACCCTAAAACCCTAAACCTCTACAACCCTAAAAACCCTAAAACCCTAAACCTCTACAACCCCAAAGGACCCTAAACCTCTGAAACCCTAACACCCTAAAAGCCTAAAACCCTAAAACCCTAATCCGCCAAGGCTTCCTCCCTGCCCGGAGGGCGGCGCTTCGGGCCCTCCCCGCCCTCCGCGCGAGGCGCTGGCGGTGCCGGTGGAGTTGGCAGCGCGGTCGCTTCAGCTTGGGTTGTCCATTAATAGGCGTTGAGGGTCAAAAGGGTTTAGGGTTTAGGGTTTAGGGTTTCGGGTTTAGGGTTTAGGGTTCAGGGTTTAGGGAGGTTCAGGGGACAGACATTTTCGGGCCTCGGCTGAAGAACAGCGGAGGAAGCAGCGCTGGCAGTCGTCAAGTCCGGTTTCAAAAAGGGAAGTTCAGGGTGCTTAGTAGCCAATTGTAAGTGTAGCTATCACCCACTTCTTATAGGCCCCTTAAGTACTCTGATAGGGTTATTATTGGGTTACAAGTGCAGTTATAATTGGGTTTCTAGAAGGATCCTGAACCTCCAAGTAGGGGTTGAGGGTCGAAAGGGTTTAGGGTTTAGGGTTTAGGGTTTAGGGTTTAGGGTTTAGGGTTTAGGGTTTAGGGTTTAGGGGTTTAGAGTTTAGGGCTCAGGATGTCGCATTTTGAGTTAAAACAAGTGCTGCCTGTTTACGGGCACTGCAGGCAAAGTGTTTGGGAAAGATGTGCCATGATGACTGTTGAGGCCCTCAGCATGACATGAGTCTCCAGGGCAGCATGCTCCAAGTTTCCTAGGTAGGATAAGGGGGACCCTTAAAGGGGAACCCCTTCTTAACCCTCTTCTGGCTCTCTTAAACAGGGACCCTATTCAGAGGGTCTAAATCCCCAAGGGTCCCCCGCATCCTATCC